GGTTCACAGCTCACATAAATCTTGAACTTTTGACTTAATTACCATGGGAGAGTTCAAAGGGCAGCCTGGAGTGGTTGAAAGAGCATTGCCCAGGGAGCTGGAGGCCTGGGTCTTCCTTCAGCCTGGCCTTGACCATGCAACCTTGATCAGATCACTTGACCTTTCTGGGTGACATTGATCACATCTGCCATTGGACCAGATGGTGACTGAGGCTTATTGGTACAGTGGTAATATGATTCCATGTTTTTCCTTTAAACCGCTGGGCTGTATTCTCTTTTTGATTTCAGAAAGAGAGGAGACCATAGACCTTAGATGTCCATGTTGAGACACATACTGGGGCATGTGAGGGCTTCTGTAGGGGCAGCCCATGTTTTTGATTGCATGGTCAAAAGAAACCCTTTAATCCTACCATGTGTTGACAAAACCAGTATCTGCCTAGAATACCTGGACAGAATGTTAGGACGTGGAGGGACTTTACCATACCAGAACATTCAGTTCAACTCCCTCATTTTATAGCTCAAGCTTTTAGCAATTGTCCATCTGGTACATTTGTCCATCTCTCTGTCTGTCCATCCGTCCATCTATCCATCCATCCATCCATCCATCCATCCATCCATCCATCCATCCATCCAATAAACACTTGAGTGCCTACTCCATGGGCTGAAGGCAACTCAAGCTGTACCCTTCAGATGCTCTACTCTTACTGGTCAGCAGACATTGAAAGGGATACATCTCAGTATGGAGACACCCTGGTGATGGAAATACGTAAATGACAAAGAGGAGGCCTAGCAAAGGAATGTGATGAATATTCACTGTGGGATGGAGGTGGTAGGTTGAAGGAACGCTGAGGGAAGTTTTTGTGGGGTTATACATCTCTGTTTAACCAGCACATCTTAAGAGAATACTGCTATATTAAAGTAAAATTTTATTAGCATTTTCACTAATATACAATAACTGTTTCAGTGTAGAAAATGATATTGAGTAGGTATAGTATTCCTTGACGGGATTTTACTTATTTATTTTTTGCTTGGGTTTTACTGTTCCTTTAAGCTCAGTGTTAGTATTTAATGACTAAGAGAGCATCATTCTTTTGCTACACGTTACATCAGAAGATCTGAGAATATCAGAGCAGAAGGGACCCACCTATCCTATAGGTCAGCTTGCTTACTACCTCTGATTTAGTAGAATTCATTTCTTCACGCCATCCGAGATTTCTGTCACCATTCCTTTTCTGTGGCTTGACTTTAAACTCACTCCTCCTACATCCCTAAGATTATGCCAGGGAGGATCCATTAAGTAGATGCTCAGAGACTTCTTTGAAATGTGATGTAGCCTTGGCCTGCAGGTTTCATCTTTTATAAAGTTGTTGAGGAAAGGTTTGTACTGAACACCTACTATGTGCAAGGGCCATCTTGCTTTTGTAAATCATTAATTTGTTAGGGGAGTTCCTTCTGCAGGTGAAAGTTAACCCACGGTATGAAAAGAGGAGCCTGGTCCTGGTCTCTCACCAGCTGCGTTGCTGTTCTTGGGGTGTGTGTTGGGGGCTGGTAGTGCTGCATTTCCGTGTGTCCAGACTGCAAATTTGGCAGCAAATATCGAATACAAAGTTCGCGGAGGACATGAGGCCACCGATGAAGAAAGTGCAGCTAGGGCTAGTCCTACAGTCTCATTATTTTTCTAGACCTTTCAGTCTGCACATAAAACTAGGTTATTTCAGGAGGAGCCATTATAAAATAAAAATTCCTCCCCTCTAGCATCATGTGCATTAAAAACATTCATGAGCCAAAATCTTCAGGGAAAGTCTGGTCACAGAAGTGTGCTGTCCTGTGTGATGTGAGTGGGACTGGGCAGAGCGTTGGGGTGGCCCACCACTGTCACACAGACAGCCTGGAAAACTTGGCTCAGTGGCTTTTCTGTCGAGTCACTATCTACAGGTATTCAGGAAAAGAGAGTGTTGCAGATGTAGGTTTCGAGGGGTAGCCGTGTAGGCGTGTAGGCGATCAGTTTCTACTCTGTTGATTAGATTTTACAGTGCCCCGCCCACCTGGCATCCCTGCGATTTTAAATGTTTTTTGTTTTTTTTTGTTTTTTTTTTATTCATGAGAGAGAGAGAGAGAGAGAGAGGCAGAGGCAGAGGGAGAAGCAGGCTCCCCGCCTGGCAGGGAGCTCAATGCGGGACTCGATCCCAGGACCCTGGGATCATGACCTGAGCCGAAGGCAGACCCTTAACCATCTGAGCCACCCAGGCGCCCCATCCCTGCGATTTTAGATGACAAGCTGGGTGCCCACACCCTGCTTCATGGCCGTGCATCTATTTTGCACGAGCAGATTTTATAGGTGCAGTTTTGACGATTGAAATTTTACCCCAGGGAAGTGGCTTCCTGCCAGAAATTCCAGCAAAATTCTTTTCACCCTTGTCCTTGAATCATTCCTTAGGTGCCAAGACAAAGGTGCCGGCTGTCAGTGTGATGTTGCCACAGGCCGTGACCGTGCGGGCTCATATGGTCTGGGGTGATCCCTGTGTGGGTTGCAGCCTCCCTGACAGCTTCGCTCCGGCAACGTTCCTAGTTCCTTCAACTAAATCTTAACTTTTTAACATTTTAGGGAATGTACAAGTCATGCCTAATGGAATGTAAGCACGTATCTGTTGATTTCTTTTATACGAAAATGAAAAGACACTCCAAAGGATCAGCTCAGCTGTAACTGATGCTATCTCAAAGTTACTACATTAATATTTAGCTAATTCATATGAATAGGCCATTGTGTTTACTTAAACAAATGACATGATTATAGACACCTGACAGCATGAGGTATGCTTTTCATTTAGGTCAGATTTATAAAAGTCTTTGTGTAGCGACAAAGCTCATTATTTATTTTGTGCTCTTAATGGTTTCTTTTTAGTGGCTGTGCTGTGGATGGATTTTTCTAAGTAGAAGCTTTTAAAATGAAAGATTATTGAAATTGTTCCAGTATATGCCAGGCTCTGGGAGTCTTGTGATGAATAGCAATCAAGTACTCCCCGGTGAGCCCTCAAAAGAGTGGGTGTGTTTATGGGCATTCGACACCCAAAGCCAAATGGCCACCAAGTTGCCTACTCATTGCAGATACAACTGGATTCAGAGGAAAGCATGCAACCCCGTTCTTATTCCCTTGGCTCTCCTCCTGGCCCTGCTCTGGCCTTTCTTTCTCTGGTACACATGACCACCTCAGTTTTGCCTTGCCTGCACGGTCTTGGCATTGTGTAGACACCATCTACATCTACACTGATACTTAGATAAACAAGGATAAAGAAGATTCAGCATGCCCTTGTTAAGAAATCTCAGCTCCACCTTTTATAGTCAGGTTTCAAGAGCAAGGGTGAGGCAAACAAGGGTAGGTGTTTTGAATGCAGTTTTTCCAATTCCTCATTCTGCCATGAGAGTCTGGCTGTTAAGTGAAGGGGATTGTTAACCCCCCCCCCCCGCTGGGAGCGAGCTCTGTCATCCACAGAATAGAGGAGGAGACCTGTAAATCCACATCAGAGACAAAACCCCTGCCTGGACCCGTTTGTCTCTGGTTTGTGAAATGTGTGTGCTGCTGCTCAGTCTAACCCTCATCAGCGGTAAACACAGTTATGAATCAGTCTTCTAGGATTTCAGTGTTATAGAATGTTCTAGAAGGTGCAAGGCCCTGTTGATGGATGCTTTAGGGAAATTTTGGCTCCCAGTTTGCTAAGACAGAAACATACATGTGAAAAGTTAAATAGCTATACAAGATTTGAGTGGAAATTTTGGGCAGTAATCAAGAAGGCAGTGTGCCTTTGGCAAGGGCTGGCTGTCCTGGACTCCGGTCTTTAACATCACAGTGGTTGAAGGTATGGATTTCGACCCCTTGGAGAAGCTGGTTCTTACCAGCCGTGGAGAGTAGGGGCAAAGACCGTGGGCTCTGGAATCAGACTGCCTTGGCTCAAATCTGCCTGCACTTCTTCCTAGCTTTGTAGCTTCTCTGTGCCTCAGTTTCCTTGTCTGTGAACGAGGATTATAATAATGCCTTTTTCATCAGATTGGTGTCAGGATTAATATGCTAAACATGTAACAGCTTTTAGAGCTCGGTTTGGCAAATAAGAAGCCCTCACTCAATAGTGCTCATTAGCTGCTGTTGGCAGGCATGAAGAATTTACGGTGGTGTTCTGGATCGTTGCTGTGGTTCATACTTAGATAAAATGTCCTTTGTTTGGCAATTTAAAAAGTTATCTCTTCTCTTGAGTTTAAAGAATCACTTGTATCCATGACTTTGCGGGTCATTTAGAGGGCTCACCTTCACATAACATGTAATCGATAGCCTCCTGTTAAGTTTTACCTGTTTAGACATGGTGGTAGAATTATGGCATTCACAACCGCTGAAAAATCTTTTCTCTATTAAAAAAATTAAAACATAGTTAGTGATAGGGCTTTCTGGTTTGTCATATAAAGTACTGGGAAGTTAATGATGCCTCCCTGAATAATTTATCATCTTAGGATAGTAAGTTATATTATTGATTATTTACAGCTTCCGTGGCTAAACTGACTTGGCTTCTAGCGCACCTTGTGTGTGTATGTGATCATTTGCTAGGTGTGGTGATTGATCTAAAATGATACATTTTGGAGGACTCAGCAACTAACAGGAGGACTCAGAACTAACATTTTGTTAGTTACTGTATGGGTTGTCACTGTTTATATAAAGCAGCATTTGAAAACGTGATTTGCCATGAATTTATATTCTGGCCCTAGGAACAAGGGAGAGAAGGTACCTCAAACACTTTTTCCCTGTTAAGAGACACAAACTAACAAGCAGTCCATCTCCAGGGACCTTCTGCTAGGCCATCTGCTAGACTTCAGAAAACTTTTTTCCTAATGTAAATATTACCCAAAGATTTTTGAGAATGTCAGCTCGCTCACTTACAAAGTAACATTATCTTCCCTGTTATGGAAATGAAGCTCTCCTTCTCTGTACATTGTAACCGTGTTTTCCACCCTAGGAGCACCGTACTGGACCAACACAGAAAAGATGGAAAAGCGACTTCATGCCGTCCCTGCGGCCAATACTGTCAAGTTTCGCTGTCCGGCTGGGGGAAATCCAGCACCAACTATGCGGTGGCTGAAGAATGGAAAGGACTTTAAGCAGGAACATCGCATTGGAGGCTATAAGGTAGAATGAAGTTTTCAAAATGTTCTCTTTCTTACGTTTTTATGAATCTCTTTTTTAAGTAGTTGAAAGGTAGCAGGAACCGGAAGGAAAATATATATATATTTTTAAATCAGTTGTTGTTGGGGTGCCTGGGTGGCTCAGTCGGTTAAGCGTCTGCCTTTGGCTCAAGTCATGATCCCAGGGTCCTGGGATCGAGCCCCATGTCGGGCTCCCTGCTCTGCGGGAAGCCTGCTTCTCCCTCTCCCACTCCCCCTACTTGTGTTCTCTCTCTCTCTCTGTCAAATAAATAAATAAAATCTTAAAAAAAAAAAATCCGTTGTTCCCCTCATCGGTCATTTCCACGGTTGATCTTTTAAAACCGTTTTGCTGGACTCGCACATACTTTAAAAGCACAATCCCCATTGGCATTGTTCTTTATGCGAGAAGAGTTTATAACAGGAGGGTAGAAAGTTGAGAGTCTGTTTTCTATATGCTTTATAGTCTATAAAACTAAAACTGAAGCAGAATCAGAGAAGCATCAGTATACTTGCCCTGTTTGAGCAGGGTTGTGTGAGTACGGATGGACTTGGCTCAGACGCTGGGTATGAAATAGTGTTTATGAAGAGAGAATGCTTCCACGGTGACAGGCCATCTCTGTCCTCTGTCTGCAAGGCTCTGGAGAGCCCATCACAGAAGGTGGTGAAGTGTAGTCTCCCCCGTTCTGGGGGAGGTGGACCTTGACAGCCGTCTCCCTAAAGAGGCCTGTAAATGCCCGTTCAGGCTCTTGTTCATCCAGTCAGCGGATGTCGATGAGCATCTTTGGGGGCAGGCACCCTCCGAGGGCTGGACAGCGCACAGCCTCAACTCACGGGGCTTCCTCGTCCAGAAGGGAAGGCAGACCAGAGAGCGGGATTTGAGTGGGCCAAAGTCAGAAGAGCATGTTGTCCTGTGGGTGTGCAGGGAGAGAGGATGTTGGCTCTTGGGAAGGCTAAGGATAACAGAGGTCAGGAAGGGAACCTGGGCTGAGTTTGAAGGAAGGGTGTCTCAGGAAGAGAGACATGGAGTCTCTGCATTATTTAGTATGGAAGGGGAGGCCTTGAGGAATGTAGTATGTGAGGAAGGCTGAAGGAATTTGACTATGACATTCTTTGGTCCCTTTGGATAGCATGAGTCCGTGAGTCGGTGCATTGGTTACTTATTACTGTGTAACAAATTCCCCCAAGGTGCAGTAGCTTTAAACAACATTTTTTATCACAGTTTTCCAGGTGTGGCTTAGTTGGGCCTTCCATGGCGAGGTCTCTTATAGGACTTAAGATTTCCGTTATGTCTGGAGTCTCATTTGTAGGATCAGCTGTGGGGAAGGACCTGATCCCAGTCTCATTCCCGGGCTTGTCAGACTCACTTCTTTGCAGGTTGTTGGGCTGAGGGCCTCAGTTCCTCACTGGCTATGGGCTGGAGGCTGCCCTCACTTCCTTGCCCCGTAGGCCTCTTCGTGTGGTAGCTGGCCCCCCTCAGGGAGAGCAGACAAGAAGAAGTAGCGTGTGAAGAAGAAAGGAGTCACAGCCTTTGGTAACCTGATCATGGATGTGACCTCTAACCACCTTGGCTGTTTTCTGTTATTGAGCAGATCATTAGGGGAGGAGATGAATTCCCCAAGGGCATGGACATCAGGAGACCTGGGATCAGCGGGAGCCATCTGGGCAACCTGCCGGGGGACACTCTAGACTGGACCCTAGGTTCTGAAGAACCAGGTCAAAGAGGGTTTCTTGGTAGATGGACTTTTCTGCTACAACTGTGTCCACGACACCCCGACGACACTTGAGAGGGCACGTGAGCCCCGACCTCATCACTGCTGTGGTTCATTGGGCCTCCTCTCTACAAAAAAGTGCCCCGGAGCCCTTTTCTGAAATACCCTACCCAATTCTCATCTTTAAAAGGGTTGTTTTCTTCTACAAAAATGGTTGACTTTTGTGTTAACATTTAAAAATATCCAGAAGCCAAAACTCGGAGGACAACGGGGAAAGCCTAGGAGTGAATTTCTAAGCGTGGACATGGGGCAATTTGCGTGTGCAACAGGTGTGAGGTTTATCTGCTGTGAGGTGGATGCCTTGGAAGCTGTGGAAATAGACATGCTTGGCCTGTCTTCCATGACTCCTGCTTGCCTGCTTGTTGGTGGGAGCAGAAGGCAGGAGGGTGCTTTGTCTCTTTGCTCTGAGGTCAGTACTTACACCAGGCACCGTGAGATGGGAAGGTTGGCTTGCTTTTTTTGTAAAGGCTGATAAGACAAAGATTTCCTTAGGTGGGTGCTGGTTGGAAAGGAGGAGTTAAAATGACTACAGTTGTGGCCCTGGGGATTGTTGTAACCACCGAATGCTCTCCGGGAACATAATTGATGCAGTTCCAATGATTTCATTTCAATACAACCAAAGTATAAGAGTGGTGGTCAAAATCCTGGTGGTTAATGAGTTTCCTCATTTAAGACAGCCTTGGAAAAAAGTAAAAAGAGTTGATGAGCCTCCAGAAACTCGTGGTCTCAAAATAAATAGGACCAACATCATTATTATGGGTAAGGAGCTTTTTGCAAATCTGAATTAGTGATTATAAATGCGCTAGAAGACTAAGGGTGCCTGATGAGGAAATACTGCTTGATTTTTAGCAGGTGCAGTTCAGTTTTAATCACCGAGGGCAACATTCCACTAACCGAAGAGCGCCTGGGTTCTAAAAGCAAAGTGGGGGAACCTTTCGCAGAGTACCTTTAACCTGTTCGCGTGGAGGCACAGACCAAAGGATTTTTTGTCGTTTCATGTTGGAGCCATTTCTGGAGTGAAAGAGAGTGGGGATTTGAGTGCATGGGAACAAAAATTCTGAAGTATATTTTGCTACAGGGGTGCCTGGCTGGCTCAGTCGGTAGAGCATGTAATGCTTGATTTGGGGGTGTGGGTTCGAGGCCCACATTGAGTGTAAAGATTCCTTAAAAAACAAGATCTTGAAAAAAGATAAAGTACATTTTGCTGTTAAAAAAAAAAAAAGATCAAGGAGGGGGGAGAGCATTGGAACCTTTGGAAGGTGGTGTGCTGGCTGGTGGTGAGGCGTGCACATTTCTGGTCCTGTTGGACTTCCTCTGGAGAAGAGACCGTGGCCATGTCTGAGTGCCCTGGGGTGTGGTGGGGGTGTCAGTCCATCAAGCGCAAAGGTGGTCGACCTGGGGTGAGTAAGGAGTTTTCACAGCAGTTGTGGTATAGGATGTTGATTTGGGGGATACTGGTTCCTTCAGGAATTCCGTTGAGCCCCACGGGCTTCTGGGATTTGAAAGGGAAAGAGATCTCTCATCTCCTGGGAAAACATAGTTACCTACAGCATAAGCCTTGCTAATGATGTGTTAGACGCACCCCAGGCCCCCAGGTCATGAAGTCCTGGGTGGTCACAGAGGCTGGCAGCCCCACCCCCACCACGAGTCCAAGCCCCCTGGCTGGTGCTTCTCCAACATTCGGCCTGAGGGAATCCCCCCCAAAGCAGAGACCCCATTGACACGCGGACAGCCCCATGTCCAAATGTCCCTCTCCCCTGACTCCCATCCCTTTGCCACCGTATATAACGAAGAGGCGAAGTGTCAAGTTTTCCAAGATGTATTTTTCCAGAAAGCAAGACCTGAAAGTTTCCGCAAACAAATGTGTGTTATTTCTGTGATTTTTTTTTTTTCTTCATAAATCTCATTCCATAAACCATGGTCGCTCTGTCTGCCTAGCTCAGCTGTCGGTCTAGCTCTTTCTACCTGTTTATGGATCAGGCACCTTGGCCGTCATCCACTGTGTTACAGCTTGTTTTGAAATGGTGGCCAGTGAAGGGCGAAGGGAACCTGAAAAAACCCAAAACAAAATCAAAGAGAATTATGAAATGGGACAGAAAGCTCCTTTTAATTAAAATGACCAAGAGAGCTCTTTGGTATGCTGTTGTTCAGTCTTATTTATCAAAGAACTCATGCTGAGCCTTCCTTAGGTGATTTAAGAGTCATATTATTGTTTTTCTTAGTATGTGGGCAAAGGCTGGGTGGATGTTATTATTTATGGTGATAAAGGTTGACCTGAAGCATAACTATATCTCCCTAATTGTACTCCTGCCTGGGCTCTTTCATCAGTCTTGACTTTGGGCAAGTTGTTGAAGCTCTTCTTTTAGGTCACCTATCCTTAAAATGAAGTTTGAATGGATAGTCTTGAACATCTGATCCCTTCCAACTGTGATTTAGTAGCATAACCACCAACCATTTTTTTTATCCTAAACAATGCACAGATCTTTTTTTTTTTAGGACGAGGTTACCAAAAGGCTAGATATTTCAAAGGGCTCTGAACAGTAATTACCATTTAATGCAGAAACCAAGAAGACCGAGGTAATTAATAGACCACCTCAGTTCCCGACTTCATTCCTAGGTAGTGTCTCAAGCGTAGAGGGGAAGAGTATTCTTAAAAACTGCCTTTCATGCCACTTAGTAACTGCCAAAGAACCAAGAGAGATCACAGGATCCAGCACTCCCCTCCATCTGGCTGGGGGACGGGCACAAGAGGACATGGCCTCAGGCCTCCTAGAGGGGAGAACTCCTGTGGACCCCTGAGCAGGGTGAAGCATCACCTGCTCTGGACTGTCAGTTTCCTGGTATGTTTCAGGCCCAAGAAAAGATGAGGTAAAACCTGTTTTCTCATAATCACAACTAAACTGGTGGTTTTGCTGGGTAGGTTCATTAGGTTTACATTTTCCAGGTTACTTAGATGTCATATTAGAGACTTTTGATTAAATGTTATGCTTAATCCCAAAGTACGTTTCTTTGGAAAAATCACGACTAATGTCCTTCTTCATACATTTATATTTTGCTGAGCTCTTTCTCAGCCAAGGCATTTCAGCTTTCATCCCAGGTCGGGCTGTCTGTGATGAGGAAGCAGGTGTATGTGGCCATCAGCCAGCATGCAGTGACTGCTCACCCATGTCACTGCCCTGGGTCCCCTGTGCCGCCCAAAGAGGGGGACTGTTAT